ATTTACTTAGTGAATGTTTAGGAGTTCTCACAGATGTATCCATTATTGTCCTACACAAATGAACAAGGAAGAATCTGACCAGCATGACTTCTGAAATGAGCAAAAGGTATAGGACATGCACATACCCATGTACTACAAAATACCACCAAACCAACTCTGTATCTGGAGTTACTTGCAAGTTCAAGTACACAATTTTATAGTGTTAGTTCTTCTGGACATTTTTATCCATCTACACAAATATATGTAAATGTATGTATTTAAACATACAAATTGTGGAAAACTTACTCTACTCCCTTCTCCATGAAGGGCCACAAAAATGATCAGGGGGCTGTAGCACCTCTCCTATAAAAACAGGCTGAGACAGTTGGGGCTGTTCAGCCTGGAGAACAGAAGGCTCCAAGGAGACCTCATAGCAGCCTTCCATTATCTGAAGGGGCTACAGGAAAGCTGGAAAGGGGCTTTTTACAAGGACTTGTAATTATATGATAAGGGGTAATGGTTTCAAACTGGAAGAGGGTAGATTTAGGTTAGACATTAGGAAGATATTCTTTAGTGTGCGGGTGGTGAGACACTGTCACAGGTTACTCACGGAAGTTGTGGATGCCCCCTCCCTGGAAGTGTTCAATGGCAGGTTGGATGGGGCTTTCAGCAACCTGGTCTAGCAGGACGTGTCCTTTCCCATGGCAGGGGAGTTGGAAGTAGATCATCTTTAAAGTCCCTTCCAACCAAAACGATTCTATGATTCCACATAAAGATATATTTAGTTACTAAGGAACCCCTTCTGCAAGAGATTCTGCCTCATGACTTTAACATATTCTTTCACTCATCTGTTCTTGTTGAATTTAGCCTTTTTTTTCTTTTCCTAAGACTTTGCCCTACTGCTTTTAAACAAACTCATTCCTCCTTTTTTCCTTTTTTTTTTAATTAGTTGATTACTTTTAATTTGCAATGTCTTAGAAAAAACCTTGCTTCCTAATGTCCTTCAGAACTTTTTTGTGCACTAAGAACCAAGTGCCACTCCTGTAATCAGCAATCTGACACTTGTGATTAACTCAAAAGCTTTCAGAAATCCGCAGTGAGCTGCTTTGTAAATTCACAGAAGCAAGTCGATTCCTCCGGATTATCACATCAGAGACTCTTCAAAAAAGAACTAGGCATAAGCAATTCTGAAACGAGTGGCTGAATTTTATTGCCATAGTTGCACTGTAGATATTCTCTGCACCATGTATTTCAATAATGCATTCATTGCAAGCTTTCATGATCAATACTGACAGCAAGCAAGTCTATAAACTATATCTGGACAGAAGGTACATTGAGTTTCAAATTAAGAGTAATTATTTGTTTAAGTTTTCTCCAGCTGCTGCAGTCAGTGGCTGGGTACGCTAAGGCATGTGACCTTCTCTGTCTTAGCCTCTTAGGGGAAAAAAACCCTTGTGCTTTCTGTTACCACACTATGGACATCTAATATTTAATAAAAAAAACTTGTTTTGCAAACGTGCTTTTCTGAGAGATTATTGAAAAATCAATCCCATGCCTAGAAGCTAAAAAGAAAGCTATGTGCCTCAGACCATAACTGCAAAATTATGTGGAAGAAAAGTATCCTGACAAAAGCTCATTTTCTATTTCATAGAACACCTTAACACAACACCCAGTCTTTCCAGGAGCAGAAAAAGAGTTAACACTTTGAAAAGTTAACCACAAAGTTAAAAGTTAACCACAAAGACAAGAGCAAATTCCAAAATACACTTCTTAGACCTCAAGATTTCCTTCGCTTTTAAGCACTGCATTTTGCTTCTTAATTTAAATGTTTCTGTTACAAAAATTATAAAGAACAGGATTTTGCTCAAAGCAACATACACAGGTGTCACATAGGCAGAATCTGCTCTTCTACCAGAGAAGTAGCACTGGTAAAAATAAATTTATTATCATGTGAAATAATAGGAAATGTGTGGTGTCACACACTTTGCATAGCAAGTAGCAAGGTGAATTAGAGCAAATTAATAAACCAAAATATGTAATGCCTACGGTCTTTACCTCCTCCATTGGATGCTATTTGAGGTTTATTTTAGACTAGATTTTGCCTTGTTCACTGGACCAAAAGTTGAAAGTTCAAAGACTTCTGAGGGAAAGCTACCCTACGGATCTTTCCTCCCTTGACTGAAGGGACCTTTTCTAGAAAGTGTCATGATGTCACTTTTCTCTGTTTCATGCAGGTAACAGTAGCATGTCATTTTAAACTTAGCCAGTAGGCTCCCCCATAAGGTTTCTATATTCCCTGTCTTCCCTATCTCTGGTCATAGAACCAAAGATAGGCCAGTGCCTTCTTGTCAAGAAGGGACAGAACCATTCATTATGTTCTCAATGCCAATGAGTGTCATGAAAAGATGCTGCATACCCTTATATTCCACACCAGCAAAAATGGTGAAACACAGGACTAATTGAATTGTGCTTTTACTGAATACATAATGGAACCACAATCTACATTTGGTCATCTGAAAGACACTGGGCTATGTGAGACAGACACCATGTAAATGTTTCCAATACCTTTCAAATTCAGGGTATTTTAGACTGAACCATCTGTGAGGACAGCTTTAAGACTTCCTTCAGACTGAAACAATGAACATGGCTTCTACAGTGCGTGTATGCAGAGTTCTTGGCTCTCTTTGCCATAGGTGGTGCATACAGCAATGCACTGGGGTCAGGACTTTTCCTTCTCCTTCACTGAAGACAGCCATCAACCCACTGAGCATTCAGGTGTGCATGGAGTGGGATGGGAGGAACACCAATGGATATCAATGTCTTCCAATCTGGCAAATGTTATGCAATTATTAAAAAGGAACTGATCCCCGGTACTTCCCTCTGTCCTCAGTTTTTCCCTCCTCCACACTTGTGTGTTTCACACACTCCCTTGCTGCCTTCAATCACTTTGGGTAAATATGGCAAATCAATCATGCTTTACCCCAGCTCACAGTGCAACTCCCTATATGATCTTTCCCAAGTATGACTTGGGGCAGGAGATATATTGCGAAGAACCACTATTTTAACCTTTGCACATGAAAGAAAAGGTATGAATGGCATTTGTTGTACAAGCAGCTGATTGCAGGGTGGGGACAGGATCTGACATGTGGTCAGAAGTATCAGCACCACTACCAACACTGAGTAGGTCCTTCATGCGCTGCATTTGAGACAGTAAGGCTGGGTTTTTGTGCAGATTAGGAGGGCTGTGTTATCAAGGCCTGCAGTGTCCAAAGCTCACACAGTTGCCAGGACTGTGCCTGGCACACAGGAAGAGCTGGCATGGGGAAGTGGTCTCTGACACAGCTGCTTGCTCCACAGAACTTCCCTCACAGCTCACAGCCACTGGGGAATCTTCTCTCAAGGTACAGCAGCTCTCAATCAGTTCAGAGGTTTACACTGCCTTCCTTTCCACAGCTTTGCAACCAGTGCCCTCGTTCTACCAGGAGCCTCCTAATCACAGTCCCACGTGTGGTCTGTCTTCAGGAAAGGAGTACATACTCTCACTCAGGCAGGCGTCCAGACCACTGACTTTGCAGTTCCCATTGCCTGCTGTGGCAGTGAGTGGCCAAGGGGATGTTCCTGCATGTTGTCTCACAGGAATCCTCTGCGGGCTGCAGGCATGTAGCACCATTGCTGGACTTTTCCGTGGACTGTGTGCCAGGATTGCTGATCCTGGAGCCAGGATGTGAATGTCCTTGGACATCTGTGGATGAGCAGTGGGCTTGGCGGAGTGCTCTCTCCTCTCGTGCAGATCTGTTCCAAGATCTCAGTGGCACTGTACCACCTCTGAAGCATGGCTTTGCCGCCTCATCAAAAGCATGGTTTTCATCTGCTTGAAATGAATGCAGCACCACTTGTCAGTCCTTTCCTACTTGGCAGTAGGTTTGACATTAGCAATGGGGTGGTGTATCTGCATTTTTGGGCCCTTCAGAGCACATACAGTCAAACTCCAACCTGCCCCTTGCTCAATATTCTGGGTGGCTAAAGCAACAGCTGTCACTATGCTCTGCCATGATTACCATTAGATTCCCTTTACAGGTTCACACATTTCTAATTACCACTACAAATCAACAGAGGTTATCAGCATGTCACAATGGCAGAGTTAAAACAACTTCTGCTTCTAGGACCATTGAAAAAGACAGAACAATTACTAGGTGCAATTCACTCTGCACAGTGCTGGAGGAGCTGGAATATACCCAGAATTCCTAATGTCAAGTCAATGCAACCAACCAAGTCTCAACATGCTTAAGAGGTAGCAATGTTGGTGCTTTAACATAAAATATCTTTCACTGTCACTGGTGGACCCTGGATTCATTCCCTGAAGAATGAAGAAGATGGTTTAAGCAACAATGTATTTTCTTGCGTGGTGATTAGAGAATCATCAATAACTTCTAAAAAAATAACAATGTCAGGCAGAGTGATTCCTTTTTTGAGCACCAAAGTTAGGATGTAACAGGTCATTCTAATTGGAATAGTTTCCTCTCTACTCCACTGAGTTTCATCTCCAAGGGGAAGGACCAAGCCCTGAACATCGGTTGAGTCTCGGCTTTATGTGCCTTGAGTGGTAGAGGGAGGAAAGAAGAGACCAGGCTTCTTAAGAGTTCTGGCTCAAATCATAGTGCTCCCAATTGCCCCCAGCTCAGATCCATTAAGAATCTGCCATCTCTAGACCCACAAAACACAACATCCTCTCCTAGATCCATAGAAGGCAGTCCAACAGCCTGTGGCTTAACCTGGTAAGCTCCACCATCTTGCTTCGCTGAACATCACCAGTCACACAAATGAAGGAGACAAATTTGAAGGATAGTGAAGTCAGTTTTCCTCAAGAATTACTGTAATAAGACGGGAGAGTATAAACACTGAAGACATACACACAATTTAAATATATACAGAGTGAAGAATGGACAGGCATAAACAGGATCATACAGATCATCAACAGGAGATGGTGCTATTCAAAGCTTGCTTTTTAGAATGCATCATACCTCATACAAAACTGTAGTATTCCCATGAAGGAGAGGTCCATAGCAAATATAGGAATGGCCAACAACCCAACCTAAATCTGATGCTGCCCACCATACCTAAAATTAAATCAAAGAATAAATATAGTGGGGAGTTTTTAAGAGGAGTTCAAAAACATTTACATGACATTTAAACAGAATTACCTCACCAGGTTTGAGTCCATATACAGCTGACATTGTCCAATTTAGCATAACTGCATAGCCACCTGTTGGTCTGACAACACCCTAAATGAGAAAATGTGAATATTTAAGATAATTTGAAGGATGAAATGGTATTTCTGCCATCAATTAAATTTTGGGGTTTTTAGCAGCAATATACTTGAAGGTGTCTAATTCCAATACACCTTGCTAAGAAAAGGATCCATTCCAACAAGTAGATACTTGTGTCAGCATTCCCACTGAAGAAGCAATTTTAGAAAGCAAACAAATAAACAGACATAAAATAAAACAATTATAAAACAAAGACTAGAATTTTCTCATTAAAAACTGATATACAAATATTTAGTCAACATATGTTGACAAAAAATTAGAGATTGAGTATTTACCTCACTTAAACTGTGGCCATCTAAATGCTAGGCATGTTTTAAATTTACTGCCTAGTCTTTCTGTACCATCACTGAAAAAGAGGAACATTTGTGGTGTACGCAGGTGATCCCTAAAATATCTGGGGTGAATTATTACCTGAAACATAACCCTCTTTCTGCACTGACTCTTTCTAAAGATGTCAAAAAATTGGCTTAAACCAGATGTCTACTTTAGAAGGTTTAGCCAAAATTCCTGACGTACTAGCATTCCTGATGTACTGATCTAAAATTCAGGCGAGATTCATCTGACCAAACAGATGTCTACAGTGCAGACATTACAATGCAGCTATCTGCCTGTACTAAGCCCAGTATTTTCTCTGCAGATAGTTAACAGAATGAACTAGACACTTTCAGGTCTTGTCCAAGAAAAAGGGGACTTTAGAGACATATTAACTCATTAACACAGAGATTGCCACAGCAGAGAATGGTTAGCTAACACTTCACAAATTTCAGAAAGCACACTGCCTTTGTTCGTCTCAGCTTCTAACTTATTCTCTGCTCTAAGATTAGCAAAAGTTTTGTTACGAAGGTCATAACTGAGTAATTTTACTTGCATGACCATTTAAAAATAAGTTCCTTAAATGAATACAAAAATTATTAAGTTACGCATTGCAGCTTAGTGCTACTGGTCAATCTCCCTCTCATAAGGGTGATTTATTCACCAAGATGTCTATATTCGGGAGAGCAAACACAATGAAGTAACCTTCTGGATACTTTTATCTCTGAGATACTGTATTTTGAAACTAACAGTCAAGGAAAACACTTTGAACAAAGGATCTTATCTTGGATCTTTTGACAATATAATTAAATAATTCAATATACATATGTTGCTTTAAAGTGCCCATTTTCAAGGCAAAAGCAGAAGATATTTTTCTCAGCAAAACTGACACTGAGTTTCCCTTACCTCCTCATGGACTCTGAACTTTATAAGCCACATCATGAAATAATCTAGTAGTAGTCTAACCACTGCCATACTCAGGCATGTGTTGTACTGCCTCTGAATTTTTGGTGGTAAGGCCACCACCAGAAAATTATATTCAGTTTGTCTTCTACACTTTGAAAGAGAACTGTAAGTACCAAGCAAACACTCAAGAGTTTGCTTTTAAAATAAGATCTTTTAAGAAAAGATCGTTAAGACTAACTTACATTTGAAAGCCAACATTTTCAAAGAATGCCCTTAGTTTCAAATTACTCAGTCCAAACTTTTCATTTTCATGGGAATTATGTTCTCAGAACTGTTCAGTAACACAGCCTTTGAAACGTGTTTAATTCCATTTCACCTGTATTGTCATTCATTACATTATTACCTATGGGAAAAATAGCTAATATGTAAATACTGGGTAAGCAAAGACTATTCAGCGATAAATGCTACCACACAAGTGATGTATTCATTAATCTTGCCATTGACTGACTATACTATGCTTATCTCAAACAGTCAAAACACAGAAAATATTAATGGTTAAAAGACATTCTGCTGTACTCAACAGTCTATATTGTACAAACATTTTGAAGTAAATGCAGTTTATATTACTACTGTTTAAATAAATAAATGTGAATCATTACTAAACACTGACTTTAAAGTAGTGAAATGTGAATAAACAAGATTAAACCATTTCTAGCAATTCTTATCACTTATAGCACTGAGCTCTGGCAAACATTTTCAGCCTTTTTCATTAAATATTTTATCAAGTGAAACTGCAAGTATGTTGGTCACAGACACTTAAGACTACAGATGGTCCCTTACCTTGGGCAAGCCTGTTGTTCCAGACGTATACAGAATATAAAGTGGATGGTCTGAGGGAACAGAGACACACTTTTGATACTGTGCTTTTGCAAGCTCTTCTTCCCAGTCAAGATCACGACCTGGGGCAAAAGGAACATTGCCCTACCCATTGAAAAACAGAAAAGTGTCAGAAGAAAAATGGAATAAATTAAATACATTAAAGTGGATCAAAACCCATGTACTATTGCATTTTCTGTGCAATACTATTTAATTTTCAGTAATCTCTCTGCTGCATTAGTGCTACTTACTATTCAAATTTTATTAATATAAATTTCCTCTATAAAATTAAAAAAAAACAGATACAACAAAAAATGTACTTGTAGAAGAGAATATACTACACAGACATCTGAAACTACATACACATTTGAAAGTTAAAATGAAGGCACAACAACTGTACACCCACCAAATTAGGTCGCTTGTAAATGAGAACTTTCTCAGGTTTGCTCTGCGCCATCGCCAGTGCTGCTTCTAGGAGGGATATGTATTCCACTTTCCGTTTTGGTTCTACTCCAAAACTTGCTGTTACAATAAGCTTGGGCTAAAATAAAGAAGTTACATTGTTTATATATACATTTGCAACATATTTTGTTTCTGTAGCCTAATAACATGTTTTCCATTAAATTATTTTATTAATGACATTCAATGAATAAAAACTACCTTCAGATAATTAGAAGCAGGGGTTTAGACCAGGCTTCTAAGGAAACCAAGCTCATGTAATCTTACTGTCCATGCATTTGTTTTTCGTTTAGAAACACACTAATAACTTCTGACACTCTTCACCATTTTCAACCAAATTTCAGTAAGAAATCAACAGTGTTAACTTCTTGTAATATGCACAAAAATTAATGAACAGAGAGAAAAACCCATCTCCAACTTAGCCCCTTCATTAAGGAAAAGTGGTCCAATGATGTCAACAATTATCTGTGCTGCTTAGCCTACCTTCTAATTACCTGCCTGCACCCAATGGTATATCCAAAACTAGCTTCAGCACTTTCTGGCTCTCTTCCAGCCTGCAATTAAATTGCAGGGAAAATAAAATAGGGAGAAGAGGAAAAAGAAGGCAAATAATTACAGAAAGAGAGTAAGCCAAAATCATAAGGCATATGAAGGAAGTAAAGCCAGAGTCTGACAACTGATGTTTGCAGGATTCAGGACACAAAACCACAAAAAATCAGATTTCCACAGTTTCGTGGGGTTTTTTTAGAATAATTTCTATTTCCAAATATGGACTCAGCATCTTTATCATTAAATTAACATCAGACTTTATGTAAGATTTCCTAAGTCAAGAAACCTGCATACCATTTTGATTTAAGTCTCAAGATCAGTATTTTTATTTCTTATATTTCAGGAAATAGAAGGTAGCACCAAAGAAACTATGTGTTAGAGCACATTTTAACTGGAAAAAAAAGAGTCTTCAATCCCCTTGCTTTTTGAGTTTTAGAAGCATATTTATCACATGCCCCTCAGTTTGATCAAGCTAGTTTACTAATTGTATGTATTAGCATAAGTCTCATTAAGCAGGGACAAAGCACAATGCCACAGTTAAGGCTCTGTTAAATTCAGCACAGAAAGCACAGATTAAATTAGTTTATTGTGAAGTAATACAATGTTTCCTGTCCAAATCTGCCATTCAGAGAAGTTTGCTAATCAGTTTGTATACAAAATAAAGATTTCAGATGAGCTTTAAAATTTCAGCATTTGTCATCTTCTTCCTTTCGGGATGTACTGATTTTAATAAAAGATGATACAATACAATGCAGCTAAACTGAAAAATAATCTGGAGGCTATGCTGAAATTAGACTCTAATTAATGTAAGGTATTAACACAGTTCTATCCAATTGTTAAGACGAAAGACTGTTGTCAACACCAGGTTTACAGTCATTTGTTAGTGGTGTTACCTCTGCTCATCAACTGCTTTGTATGCAGTAAGGAAGTTTAAAAATAAACAACACTAAATTGTCTGAGGCAATGTATTATTTCCCATGTGAAGGTTGCTTCTTGGAAGCATCATGGATCACTTTTTGCAAAACAAAGGTCTGTTACTGGCCAGTATTTTGCCTCTCTGCCACACACATTACTTCCCCTGAATCTCTGCTCCCATATTGGTTTTATATACCAATTTCCCACCTCTTCTGTGGCTCCATGTAGTCCTGCACTGTAAGATTAGATAGAAATATAACTAGTTTGAAGGAAAATCAATTAAGTTCAAAGGTTTGCTGGAGAAGGGATGCCAACAACAGTGGGCTGTAGAAAAATAAAAACAATATGAAGAAGTAGAAATGACGTAAAGCAAAGCCCAATAGTACCAGACCAACAATGTTATTCTGTTGTAAATGCATCTCCTAAAAATTATTTTGTAGTCTCTAATAAGAAACAAGGAAAAATTCAGGAAAAACAATAAATATATTTTACTGGGACAGATAATAAAGCTGCAAAAAGCCCAAACTGACAACCAACTAGTTTTGGGGCACAGCATGCCAGGAGTGTCATGAAGAGCTTTACAAAGAGAACCAGCACTCAGGCCCTAACTATTCAACACATAAAGCTCCTTCCTCTTGGTGCCTCAGCCATGCATTTGAGCACAAGCCAGTGCTCCAACTTACTGCATTTTTCTTGTTCCTCCCTCCTCCTTAAAAAAGGTGACACACATTTTAAATAAATGCATTGCTGCAGTCACTATGTAGTTCTGCTGCTCCAGCTGGTACTAATCTGGTTTTGTGGCTCGACAAGCCATGTCAGATTGCCACACACATGTACCTCTGCCAGGTATTATACAGTACTCTAAAGAAAGAGCAACTATTAGAAGGCAATTGTGTATCTTAAGTATCAGCAGCTGAGGTTGCTGCTGAAACACTAAAAAGGCTCCATCATCTTATGATGAGAAGTAGGGATAACCATTCACAGCCATACCTATGCACAGCAATAAACTGTTCAGAATAAACTTTTACAAAGTATTAGCTCTGTTTTTTCACGGTCATCTTATTAAAATCTTCAAATATGTCAACTGTAAATAAGTGAGGAATACCATATTTCTGACCTCAAAGGAAGATAGTAACAGATACTTTTCAATAATTTGGGTGACTTGTACATTTTGTATAACAAATAATTGTTCACTTGTAAGTCATAATACTGCTTTATAGAAGCATTTAAAAAAAAATCATATCCGAAAAACTCCATTATTTCCATTTAACTTTACAGGGTTTGGACTTAAAATCAAAAGGCCCTCTGGAATTGCTATATGATTACTGTGATACAAATAATATGAGAAAAATTGGTTGTTGAAGGCATAGAAACTGCTCTATCTAACTGGCATATGAGCATATTGTTCTTAAGTACCCTTTTCAGTTTTCCTAGACCACTAAGATAAAGTGCCTACACAGATGTTGTGTTGCTTTGCAAAATACAGTATATGTCTTTCAAAAGCATCTATTGTTTCAATATTGCAAACCATATCTTCCCAGATTCAGGAGAAAGATGACAAGAAATGCCTGTTATCACTCTCTGTATGATCACAATTCACTGCAGAACGTCTGTAACTGCCAATATCTGACAAGACTGAAAAATATCAGCTGCAGGACTTTGCAGCATTCCCAGACCTATTTAAAATTCAATCTAAATCAAGGTAAGCTGGTAAAGTATATGTACCCTTTCATAGTCACTAGAAAGTGCTTGTTATTTCTTTCACTTTAGATGTCACAATAAAATGTGACGTATGAGTATTCTTCCACCGTTCCATTCCACATCTTTACATCTTTTTAATTAATCTTACAACTATTAGGTCCTGTACTGCAGCATCTAAATGAATTCACATAAAAGCCTAATAGAAAAGTTAGGGTTTCTTGAGACTGCTTCAATTAAATTCTAAGTTCAGCAAAATACCATCTTTCACAGCTACTTATATACATATCTTAAAATAATCTAAGTAATGTGTGATTCACTTATCAAGAAAGCTTAACAGTATTGAAAAACTGGGGCATGTTTTGAAATTCAGATTGAGGATGTGCCTCTCCTCTTTACTTACACTTTCATTACACATCAGATGGAAGAAAAATCATCCAAAATATTTAGATGTGCCTTTTAAAGAAAAAAGAAAAAGGCAATGTAAATTAGGATTTAATCTGTGGCCTGCAGCTAGTAACTCTATAGCTAACCATGTGAAAGACTTGATCTGTGACCTTGAGTAAATTGCGTAAACTTCCTCTGTTTTCTTTTTAATTCATGAAGCAAGGATTATGATTTCTGTACTGCCTCCCTTTGTTCCTCAGAGAAAATCCATTGAGATTAATTAGTTAATATTTGCAAAATACTCTAAAAGTAAGCATGCTAGATGATTCATATTGTAGCAACTTCCATTTTAAAAGTCTGTAATTTTTTCTTCTACATTATTTTTCCCTCATCAAAAGCTTCTATGAGTTAAAATTAATTTTTACAGCTCATTGAAAAAGTGAGAGAATGGAAAGAAAGACAGGGAAAAATATGGAGCTGCTGTTAAGTCTTCCCCCAGCTCTTTTTCACAATTCCACTACACCATTTCAGTTGTTTTATTAGCTTTTGCTTCGTTAAAATATCAAAAGAGGAGTGGGAATGCATCCAGTTTCCTATTTATAAGCATTCAAAAAATTTAAGCATCGGGTATCTGAAAAGCACTTCTGTTTCATAAAAATCTAAGTAAAAGTTCCAGAAAGCCTGTGGACTTTATCCTGCATAATTTTTTGGCTTATACTCCCAACCAATGTGGTTCAGTGATGGATGGCTACCACAGATAATCTGAATGATCCAGGTGACTGATCCAGATGACAAAAACTTGTCCACTGGTAGAAAACAGGAACAGAAATTTCCAGTACAAACCTTGTTAGTGGGTTTGAAACTGATACATACACAAGTTACTAATGTGCACATACAAGCTACTCAGTGGGTTATTAAAATGCTATTTTTGCATTTTCACTCACAAAGGCTTACATAATGCTTCATAAACAAGTCCAATTCATGCCAAACCTGGAAGCCTTTAAAGCTTTCACTTCTATTAATCATGTTTTCCACAGAGTCATTTAAAACTGGTTCCCTAGTTGTTGTGATTCATGAACAAATTAGATTAAGTAGCTATATAGCAAAAAAACATACTCCCTAATACGTATAAGCGTCAAGCATACCAATGAGCTCCTTTAGAGCTGGTAGCATTTTCCTCATACACTTGAGGAAAATTCTGGCTGAAAAGCCACTTTTAAGGTGAATCTTTGTAGGTAAAGATTGATAAATGGGAGAAGAAAGTACATTCTAAACAGACACCAGTGTGTTAAACTTACATTTTTTTCAAAGAGGTCAGAATTTGTACTTCAGTGTCTGCTACTGAAAGTATTACCATCAGCACAGATGTAGCACTTGGTTCACATTTCAACTGTAGGTACATAAACTAATTGAGACTGTGTGGCAGACAAACAGCAATGTTCTCCTCTCCGGAAAAAGGGGGTTTTGACATTGATTTACATGAATACCTAATGCAATAATGTCTGTTGTTCCAAACACATATTACCTTTGCATGATCAATGCGAACAGAAAGCTCTTTGGATGCAAATCCACCAAAAATCAGGCTGTGGATGGCTCCTACTCTTGCACAAGCCAGCATACAGTACACTGTCTGTGGAATCATAGGCATGTAGATGACCACACGATCTCCAGTCTTCACGCCATGTCTGACCATGACATCAGCTAACTTGGAGACCTGTACTGACAAAATATTCACAACATATTAGAAGTTTTTCCAGATCTGCTGGTGCTTCATAAAAAACAACTTTCACACAATCAGCAGATGCAGGACATCAAGGAGACAAGCCAGTATGATACAGAAAGCAGATGAATAATGCAAACCAGGTTTAAAAATTTCAGACAATTTCCTCTTGGCAAAAACCACTGAAATATTTTTTTTCATTTGGTTTGGTTTGATTTGTTGTTTTTCTTTTAATTGAGATAAGACTGAAGGTAATAATTCTACACATTAGAGCAACAAACCAGTAACAATGTTTTGCAAAACTGTCAATGACACTGCAACCATTCTTCTGTTCTCAATTTTAGCTTCTAAGGATGGATGTAAACAGTTCATTTCATAACACAAGTTCTATTCTAACTAGTTAAGTTTGAAACAGAAATCACAATGTAATAGTATTTTCTCTCCTACAGTGTTGTAAATCTCTCATAACCCGAGACAAGAAATCTCATCTCCTGAACCACATGTAAATACAAATCCAGAGAAATACATTTAGATTTAAGAAATAATTTTTTCCCACTTTAGAGATTTTCATTTTTGGTATGCAAAAACCTGAAGACAGACTATGCATGGCAGCAAAGAACTGTAATTAAAGGAATTTGACAGATCAGCCACAATGTCAGCTGTCTATATCATCATGAGAAAATATCTATTACCTCGACAGTGTATAGTATTCTGTTAGAAAACTAGTATTGAATATTTCATTAGTGCACGAGGATTGACAAATACATAGTAAATTATGATAGAGTTAGCATGGGAGCCTACGACAAGCACTGCACACTTGTCCTGACCTGCTTGTTGAAGCATGGAAATGTGGCATCTTCTGAAGGAAAACATTGTTAATTCCCCAAGAGCAACTGAATGAACTCAGCAGTCAGAGGTTTCTTGAGTTCCAAAGGCAGACAGCTGTGTAACATTCATTATCTAAACACTGGCTAAGTTGCCCAGGGAGGTTGTGAATGCTCCCTCCCTGGAAGTGTTAAAGGCTGGACAGGGTTTTGAGCAACCTGTTCTAGTGGAAGATGTCCCTGCCCGTGCAGGGGCATTGGAACTAGGTGATCTTTAAGGTCCCTTCCAACCTTCACCATTCTATGATTCTATGATTCTAAACCTACTCACTGCCTTCAAATTTTTCAATTAGACATCACTGTGTAGAGGTGCATAAATCATACAGTTAAAACTGCATATAACTGCATAAAACAAAACTAAGAGGTTAATAGGAAAAACTGTAGTCTAAGAAGAAACAAAGTAGACTAATAAGCTAATAAGAAACACGATGGAAGTAAACATATCCCAGAAGTTGTGAGCTGGAATACTCCAGATAATATGGTTGTTACACCAGTCAGATGTAACAAGACCAGAGTTTTCCTTGCAATAGTTCTACATTAGTGGTAAGACTAAAAAGTTAAATTCTCTAGGAAGTTCTTGGAGTATCTTAAGACATAAATCTAAGTTCAGAAAAAAGGAGTTGCTCTGTCTTACAAGGGAACTCTTCTTTAAAAGGTTGCTATTCACTAGAAGATACTACAATAAACATGAGAAGTTTAAATATTCTGATTTCTTTCACTACAAATACTTATATATTTGCTTATATATGAATTCCTCACATCTTGCTTGTACTGCATTATTCTTATTTATTCATTATCACATAGGTTAGGTTTCAAACAAAATTTAGTCTCATGCAAGACCCTTTTACTTCAGGTGCTATCAGAAAGGGGAGACTAATTCCTGACAGCAGTGGGTAATCTTGCCTGCAGAATAGAAAATACCCAAGCTCCTGAAGCAGTAAGTGGTGTTTTCAGTGACCCAGCAAATATGACAAGCAATTGGAGCAGCCTAGGCAAGTAATACACATTGTGCAAGAAGAACAACAGGGAAAGACCCTCTTTTTCAAGGATGTGCTAGCCAGGAGGGTAGACTTTTTTTGAGAAGTTTCACTTTCAATTATATTATTGACCAAATTGCAGTTTTCTCTATTTGAAGAGTTACCTTATTCCAGTTAAATATTTCAAATTCTAGTAACACTGTCTCTTCCAAGATTTGTAGGCAATAGGCTCTTTATTTTGTGGTCATATTCAAGAAAACTTGGGGCAATAACATCCAATTCTAGAAGCCTATCTGATAGATGTATTGATGAGGGCAAAATAGCATTACTCACTGATTCTCCCTACAGTGGGAACACATGTTCAGACTTTCAGCAACCTGAGACAATAAGCTCCAGATGCATCTGACCTGTGTTTGCATTAAATACTCAGCTCACCCACAATCAAACTATGCCTGTTTCTACACTTCTGTGAAAATGGAAACACAGAAGCCCCACACACACATGCTTGCATCAGAAGATTAACAGTGTAGCTTCCATAAATCCCTGCTGTTATTTTCAGCCATAAGAAAGAATACGTTTATAAGGCAAAGTCATCATCATAACAAGCTGAAAACTCACACAAACGAATGAATATGATTTGTAACAGATGTCTTATTTTAAATGCTACTGATCATCAAAAGAAAATGCACTTCACACTAGACCTAATAACTTCTATCAATCCTCTATGAAACTGAAATTTGCTATGAACACACAACAAAAATCAACAAGGCCTGGACATGTTCAAAGCTAGAATTTATTGCCATACCACTAGCATTTACTGGCACTTCTAGACAGGATTGGTGCAAGTAAGTGTAAGTAAGGATAACAACTTTACTTCCAAGGATAAATTCCTTTTCTATACTTCCTACTTTGAAAACACAAATCTGCAAAATTATTGTAATATAGCTAATATTGCCTTATCTCAAAAGATCTGAGAAAATTAGTCCTTATCTTTGCTGCTTGTAAGACTCTCAAGCAGTGTTGACAAAACCGCCAGAAGCAATGAAAACAATATTTAATGAGTAATTTTGAAGTCAGTGTAAGTGTGTCAAGCAGGACATAAGTAGCTAAAAACAATGGGTGAGTATTGTTGTTCATTCCTACTACTTCATAATTATTAATTATGATGAAAAAGGCACTGTTTGCCTGCTAAAGGAAAAGTTCATCATTTAAAGATCAGAATTATTTTGTAATAGAAGACTCCCAGCACGTGTATGCAAGCTGTATAACTTTGGTACTTGGCAGTAGGAGGGAGACAGTGAAGCGATCTGCATGCCTTTAAGTCATTTTTATTGAAACCTATCATAGGTAAACTGCACTTAGAGCAGAATATAATATGTAGCATGCTGCAGACAGGAACCCCATCTTCCACACAAACCCAGTAATAGCCTCTCAGTACTAGACCTTCCCACCATGTAGAGTTTAATGTCACCAAAGACAATAACCCAATACGATACATGAGTATCTGTCATTTTCCTGTGTGCCCTTTCTCTCACCCTGCTGACAGCCAGGGAGCATTTGGCCTACATAATACACAATAAAACGCTGTCTCTATTTGTAACTATCTGGAGGACTAGGGATCATCATAAAGCAGGTTTACATTGATCTTAAGATTGATGTGGACAACCTGAAATATCCAAGCAATCTCTCTTTCTGCAAGGGAGAGGGGAAGAGGAGTGAGCAGTGACATTTCATTAAACAGTTACAAGCCATGAAACAGTCTGCTTTGTTACAGTGAGTTGTCATTTATGGTTTACTTTAAGACAGCATACTTTATCACTCACGATCTTACAGTTGCTATTTTCCTACCAGCATGCAATTTCTCCACTTTTCTTCTACTTTAAGATTGCTCTATTGCTTTAACATAGTTGACACTTCAGTAATAAAACCACTTGAGACAAACTGATACAGTATGAAACTCAAGTGGCTTTTAGCTTTGAAGATCTGGGCTTAAACTGCACTTCTGTCAACGCAAGCCCCCAGTGAGCACGGCTTTTTTTTTACTAAGTCACAAAAAAAATACTACAACAAGAAGTAGCTCTACTACAAACTGTAGCTCTGAAGTAAATCATCTGGCTGTCCACAGTAGTTAAAAAAAACAGTCCTGGTCCATACGAAAGTAAATCTTTTTAGCAGAGACAAAGATAAAATGTACTCAAAATGCTCAGAAGAGGAATTTCAAACCTTCCTGGATTGAAAAAGAGTCATAGAATCACAGAATCCTGGGGGTTGGAAGGGACCTCAAAAGATCATCTAGTCCAACCTCCCTGCCAGAGCAGGGTCACCTAGACTACAGCACACAGGAACGCATCCAGGTGGGTTTTGAATGTCTCCAGTGAAGGAGACTCCACAACCTCTCTGAGCAGCCTGTTCCAGTGCTCTGTCACTCTCGCAGAAAAAATGTTTTTTTCGGATATTCACCTTGAACCTCCTATGCTCCAGTTTGCACCCATTACCCCTTGTCCTATCACTGCTCATCACTGAGAAAAGCCTAACTCCATCTTCCTGACACTCACCCTTTACGTATTTGTAAACATCGATGAGGTCACTCCTCAGTCTCCTTTTCTCCAAGCTCAAGAGACCCAACTCCCTCAGCCTTTCCTCATAAGGGAGATGTTCCACTCCCTTCATCATCTTTGTAGCTCTGCGCTGGACTCTTTCAAGCAGTTCCCTGTCCTTCTGGAACTGAGGGGCCCAGAACTGGACACAATACTCCAGATGCAGCCTCACCAATGCAGAATAGAGGGGGAGGAGAACCTCTCTTGACCTACTAACTACACCTTTTCTAATGTACCCCAGGATACCATTTGCCTTCCTAGCCACAAGGGCACATTATTGGCTCACGGTCATCCTCCTGTCTACCAGGACCCCCAGGTCCCTTTCACCTACACTGCTCTCTAGCAGGTCAGCCCCCAACCTGTACTGGGACATGGTGTTTCTCTTCCCCAAATGCAAAACTCTACACTCGCCCTTGTTGAACTTCATCAGGTTTCTCCCTGCCCAAATCTCCAGCCTGTCTAAGTCTCTCTGAATGGCAACACAGCCTTCTGGTGTGTCAGCCACTCCTCCCAGCTTAGTGTCATCAGCAAACTTG